GGGAGAGGAGGTGTGGTGGAGAGTGTGGTTGGGGGTGTGCCTCTAACATTTCTAAAAATATAGCCTAGTTATCACTACCCGTGATATAACATGTGCTCTAGTTTAAAATAGAAATCCTCTTAAAACTGCGGGCATACGTACGGATGGCCGTTCATGAGCCTTACATTAAGAACAAAATTACACACTTGCCATCCTATTTGTCATATGCAAGGCTTAGAACCGTCTACTCGCATAAGGATGTCTATAAAAGAACTCTGACTAATAGTTTCATGCATTTTTTTAACTCTTTTGATTTTTAATTTATTCTTAGCAATACTATATTAAATCTTTCTTTTTTTAATGTTTTTCTCAGTGTTTTATCTTTAAATATATATAGTGAATTTTGTCTTTTAATAGAAAATATATTGAGTTGCAACTAATAAATTTACATGATAATACAAACATCACCTCTAATCCAAAAATTATAAACCATTATAGAATGGAAAAGAAAGAGAATATATATATATATATATATTTCAAAAGTATGAAACAGTGGCCTTTGTAATCACCTAATGTCAAAAGTATAAAACAGTGGCCTTTGTAATCAAGTGACTCGATTATTCAAATTAATTTATATAAGTACGGCTTATTTGTTACTTCTATAATATCTTCACTAAAAGATTACTTCACTAATTTAATAGGCTATAGAATTTTTTTTTTCAATCATTAAGAATGAATTTACATTTTAATACATCACGAGAACAAAAATTGGGATCGTCAACTCTTATTATATTTTCAAAATCTTCGTGTTTGAAAGGATCGCTTTAAAATGATATCTATGTAACCCAAATTTAAATTCCACCAGTTGTGTTTGGGCTCTATAACATGATATTCCATCTAAAAAGAGCAGTGTGTACCTGTTAAGAGTATAAAATTAGTAATTTCCATATTTATGCTAATTCTATAATCTGTAAAATTATAAAATGATAATTTTCAATTTTATCACAAGTATTGGCATAATGAGAAGGATTTACGACGCAAGAGCTTAGAAGATTAAACAAGCATGGTTTGTTCGGACTCATGCTGCGCCATCCTAATTTGCAAAACCGTGTTGAATTGCTTGGCTCATTCATCGCCTTAAACCATGAGTAATGACAAAAATACTATTAAACAAATAAATTATGTTATTTACCACCAAGGTTGGTTCCATGACGAAGCCATCCAACTCTGTTGTAGTGTTGTTGGTGTCGGCCATTGGAGATTAATATTGTTTTCATTTCCTTGGTAGTTGCAAACGATAGCCTTTTTCTATGGTAGGCCATTGGAATTAATAACTCCATATCTAAAAGTTTGGATTAGGATATTTTAGAGCATTACATTTTAGTTTATTTTATTAAATTATTATTTTGGAAGGAGCCGTGACCGAAAGCACCATAGTTTAATAAATTAAGCTTTAATGTTGATAAGGTTGAGAGGATTATGACAAAGCTCAGTGTGCTTGTCGTTGGAGGGTCTATTAGCTTCGCCCATTTGTTTTACGCTTGCTCGTGATTGTAATTGATTTAGATAGTTTAGGCCAAAATCTTCTAAAATAAATTTGCGAAGTTAACAATCATATCATTTTCGTGCATCCATCTACTCGATAACTTTGAATTCTTAATATCTCGAGATGAATGTAGTATATGTGTTGCAACAAAATTTTATTTGTATTTTTGGTAACTCACCATTGAAATTCAAGTCATTAATTTTTATGAAAAGATTTACGCAGATCATTGCCATCGTAATTAGTGTATAGTGTTATGATTTGACGGAAATACTTTTTAATAAATTTTGTAAAATATAAAAAAGAAGCCAGATGATGATATATATTATTAATATTGGATGGGGAAAAAGGGACAAAGTGACTTCATTTTTCAAGAAGTAATGGCCCATGGGCTAAGGTTGGGCCACATCTTGTGTCTCATGACTATAAAGTAAAATAAAATATGAGTTTAATGCATGAAGCACTTTGCTACAACATTTAAGGGCCGGAAACCAACCATATAATTAACAAATAGATTGCTTATTGTTGGGTTTGTTTTCGGTTTGGTAATTCAGTTAACTATAAATGAATAGTTTTTATTATTCGGTATATAAATGTAAAGAATTTAGCTAAATATAATTTCAATTTGTTTAATTATTAAATTTTGTTTATATTTTTTTACTTTTATGTTATTATTATATTATATTATCTTAATTTTCTGTTTGTATAAGATTATAAATGTTGCTACTTATAATATTATGTTGATAATTTATAAAACATATAATATAAAAATTCTTATAATAAAATATCAAAATAACAATTAGTAGATCGTAAAGAAAATAAATAAGAAAATATTTTAAACATAGGCTTCAAACTCAAAAACATCATATTTAAGAACCCTGTGACTTACAAAGTGTGCTAGTTGGATGTTCATGATGTTTATCGAATATTCGACTAATTAACCAAATCAAATTTGATCCCTCATTTCCTACTCTACTCGAATTTGAATTCATCAAAACTAACAAAATTCAAATTTGAATCAGAATATTATAATATTCAAGTCGATTTGGTTCATTTCCACCAACGGTAGCAATCTTCTTCTACAACTTCTTTACTCTTTTTTAATTTTTAAATAAAATTTTATTTATCTTCCTTCTGCTTTAGGATCCAAAACTACCACCAATTTCCATACAATTCATATGTTATAATATTCAAGTCGATTTGGTTCATTTCCACCAACGGTAGCAATCTTCTTCTACAACTTCTTTACTCTTTTTTAATTTTTAAATAAAATTTTATTTATCTTCCTTCTGCTTTAGGATCCAAAACTACCACCAATTTCCATACAATTCATATGT